AAATTATTTTCACCCCTTTTTTTAATTTTAAAAAATTTAACCAAAAAAATTACCCAAAAAAAACCTCAAAAAAAAAAAAAAAAAAATACTAATTAAATTAAATAAACCAAAACTTTTTTTAAAAAAAAAAACACCTTTAAACTTTTTATAAAAAAAAAAAAAAAAAAAAAAAAAATTAATTATTAATTAAATAAATAACTAAAAAAAAAAAAAAAAAAAAAAAAAAAAAACAAAAAAAAAATAAAAAAAAAAAAAAGAAAAAAACACAACCCTAAAACTTTTTTTTTTTTTTAGTGAGTGTAAGGTGGTTTATTTTGTATGAAATGATCATCATTATATGAGATTTTTTGTAATAAGTTAGTCTTAGAGGAGTACACAGTAAAACAAAGAACTGTCTTTCCTAAGTTTGGGCTGGAGTCAAGGGTGATCAGGCCCAATTTTATATGAAAGCCTTGAAAAAAATACTTATTTTACTTATTTAAAGTGTTTGAGAGGCCATACATTCTAGAGCAGCATCACAATGATGTGTTTCAAGCAATAATTTTAGCCCATTTTCCCATTGAGCATAGAGTAACCTAGAGTTCAAACTTTCATTTGCTCTTCCATTTCCACTCTTTTCAAGTGAAAAAGCCAATAAGCATATTTAGAGATGAGAAAGATGGGAATGTCCGTAGTTGTGTAGGTATTCGGCCATAAACCAAAGCAGGGATGTGCCAGTGATAATACGGAATAATGTCTGATTTGATAAGAATTTGCCAAATCATGACAGGGCCATTCCAACAAATCGGTGCCTTTTCCCTCAGACATTACATGCATAAATATGCATGAAAACTATATGTACAATGCATTATATTATTAAGCAAAGTGTCTTTTGTTATTATTGAGTGACTATTTCGATTTGGACATACGTTTTTTCATTGGAGAGGACATGAGGAGAGGACATGTGCAACTCACTATGCTCTAATAGGGCTACAAATACCAGATAATCATCTCTGTCCTACTTGCATGAGATACAGGAACATCCAGAGCTGGGATATGAATACTCCTTCTTTTCTCCTGACTCCTTATATAATCATAATCATCATAATTCAAACGGCCATTAGCACTTTCATAAGGACAACTGGGCAGGTTGAAGTGGAATGACATTCCCTGATCCAATCCTTGGAGCTATAGGGTACTATTCATAAAACAGCAATCCTTTCTTTACTACACTCTACTCTGTTTTGTCCACCTGTTAGATCCCGAGTTACCGGGATAGGTGGTACCGGACCAGCTCTCTGTTATAAAGTGTCCGAGCCTCTTGCCTATGAGTATTACCCTATTAGGCTAAAAAGCCTATTTAAGCTGGTGGCGAGGAGACACGCCTAGCTTCTAACTGCCTTTGTCCGAACACCTACCCTGCTCACTCTAGTGCAGCACCCGACCGAATAGCCCTAGGGCCGAATACTGCACTACACTGATTCAATTCAATTCAATTCAATTTTATTTGTATGGCGCCAATTCATAACAGAAGTTATCTCAGGACACTTTTCAAATAGAGCAGGTCTAGACCGAACTCTTTATAACATTATTTACAGAGACCCAACAGTACCACCATGAGCAAGCACTTGGCGACAAGGGCAAGGAAAAACTGCCTGTTAAAAGGCAGAAACCTAGGACAGATCCTCCGGCTCTAGGTGGGTGGTCGTCTGTCTCAACCAGTTGGGGTGAGAGAGAGAGAGAGAGGGAGAGAGAGAGAGAGAGACATACAGACAGACAGAGACAGAGAGAGAGAGACACACACAGAGACAGAGAGAGACAGACAGGTGTACAGTAACAACAGTATTGGCAATGGCAATCTAGCAGGACCATGGCAGGAGGCTCCACCAGGATCGAAAATAACCTGCGAGACAAGAAAGCACAAGAACTCCGGGGAAGAAGTGAAGTTAGTAACATGCATTAATGGGACATGAATGAGTGCAGAAAGAGAGAGGAGGAGAGGAGCTCAGTGCACCATGGGAAATCCCTCGATAGTCTAGGCCTATAGCAGCATAACTAAGGGATGGTTCAGGACTCACCTGATCCAGCCCTAACTATAAGCTTTATCAAAGAGGAACGTCTTAAGCCTACTCTTGAATGTGGTGAGGGTGTCTGCCTCCCGAACCACAACTGGAAGCTGGTTCCACAGGAGAGGAGCTTGGTAACTGAAGGCTCTGGCTCCTGTTCTACTTTTAGAGACTACAGGAACCACAAGTAGCCCAGCATTCAGAGAACGTAGTGTTCTAGAGGGGTAATAGGGTACTATGAGCTCTTTAAGATATGAAGGGGCCTGACCATGAAGAGCTTTATAGGTGAGGAGGAGGATTTTAAATTCTATTCTACATTTTACAGGGAGCCAGTGCAGAGAAGCTAGTACAGGAGAGATGTGATCTCTTTTTTTTTTTCTCGTTCTGAATTAATTGGAGCGTTTTAATGGACTTATTGGGGCAACCTGATAATAAAAAGTTGCAGTAATCCAGCCTTGAAGTAACAAATGCATGGATTAGTTTTTCTGCATCTGTCTGTGATAGTATGTGTCTAATTTTTGTAATATTACGTAAAATGAAAGAAGGCAGTCCTAGAGGTCTGCTTCATGGGGGAGTTAAAAGACAAATCCTGATCAAGGATAACTCGAAGATTCCTGACAGTGGTGCTAGAGGCCAAGGTAATGCCATCTAGAGTAACTATATCTTTAGACACTGAGTCTCTAAGGTTTTTGGGGCCAAGAACAAGAATTTGTTTTCTTCTGAGTTTAACATCAGAAAATTGCAGCTCATCCAGGATTTTATGTCCTTAAGACATGTTTGTAATTTAGATAATTGATTAATTTCATCGGGCTTGATCGATAGATATAACTGCGTATCATCTGCATAACAGTGAAAGTTAATGGAGTGATTCTTAATAATGTTGCCTAAAGGGAGCATATATAAAGTAAATAATATTGGTCCAAGTACAGAACTTTGTGGAACTCCATGACTAACTGTAGTATTTATTGAAGATTCATCGTTAACATGTACAAACTGCGAACGATCTGATAAATATGACTTAAACCAGCTTAGTGCGGTTACTTTAATGCCAATTTGATGCTCAAGTCTCTGTAAAAGAATATTATGATCAATGGTGTCAAATGCAGCACTAAGATCTAATAATACAAGTACAGAGACAAGTCCATTGTCAGAAGCAATCAGAAGGTCATTATTAACTTTAACCAGAGCTGTCTCTGTGCTATGATGAACTCTAAATCCTGACTGAAAATCCTCAAATAAACTATTGTTATGTAGAAAGTCACACAACTCTTTGGCGACTACCTTCTCCAGAATCTTAGAGAGGAAGGGGAGGTTAGAGATTGGTCTATAGTTAGCTAAAACCCCTGGGTCAAGAGTGGGCTTTTTAAGAAGGGGTTTAATTACAGCTACTTTAAAGGACTGTGGTACATATCCTGATAATAAAGAAAGATTAATCATATCCAGTAAAGAAGTGCCAGTTAAGGGAACAACTTCTTTAAGCAGTCTAGTTGGGATCGGGTCTAATAGACAGGTTGATGGCTTCGATGAAGAAATGATTGAAGTTAACTGATGAAGATCGATAGCAGAAAAACAGTCTAAATATATATCTAAGTTTACATTAGCAAAAGTCCCTGAACTTGGAGAGCCACTGATAACTGTTGATGGCAGTTGGTGATTAATTTTCTCTCTAATAGTAATAATTTTATTATAGAAGAAGCTCATGAAGTCATTGCTACTTAAGTTTATGGGGATATGTGGCTCAATAGAGCTGTGGCTCTCTGTCAACCTGGCTACAGTGCTGAAGAGGAACCTAGGGTTATTCTTATTTTCTTCTATTAGTGCTGAGTAATAGGCTCCTCTGGCATTAGGGAGGGTCTTTTTATGAGTTTTAAGAGTATCTTGCCAAATTGAGCGATATTCTGATAATTTGGAAGAGCGCCATTTCCTTTCAGATTTCCTAGCTATTTGCTTTAACTGCCGGGTTTGGTGATTGTACCACGGTGCTAGTCTCCTATGTTTTAATAATTTCCTTTTTATAGGAGCGATAGAGTCTAATGTTCTTAGTAGTGAGCCCGCAGCACTATCGACAAGATTATCAATTTCAGAGGGACTAAAGTTGTTATAGGATTCTGTTAAATTTAGACATGGCATTGAATTAAACACCTCATTTAGGCTAACATACTCCTCATGGGACAACCAGGTCTCAGTAAGACAAAGTAAATCAATATCATAATCTGATATTAATTCATTCACTAAAACAGCTTTTGAAGACAGAGACCTGATATTTAACAGCCCACATTTCATTCTCTTATTTTGTGCTACTGAGGAGTTGGTTTTAATTTTTATTAGATTTTTATGTTTAACTCCTCTTGTTTTTATTTCTTTAAATAATTTAGGTGGTTGGGGGACATTTAGGTGGTTGGGGGACTGATAAAAATGATACTTTGAACCAACCTAAAACAATTACAGTAATTTGTTACAGCTAATTTTATTAGTTTTTGTCAAAGTATATTTATGACTTGACTGAAACTGAAAAGTTTAATTTTGTTTAAATCAAAATAATCCTTCAGTCCAAGAAAAAATATTACATTCACGCAAAGTAAAAATAGTGTTTATTATAGAGACCATAAATCATTTTTTTTACTTTAGTAAAACTTACATTTGTACGTTGGAAAACCCTACTTTTTTCATAAAATCCAAGTATAATTTTTATGTTGAACTAAAGTAATTAAAATGCTGTAATTTGTTACAAGCAATTTTATTACTTTTATTCAAGTTAAATTTATGATTCAGTACAAACTATGTTTTTAAGTTATACCATATCAATACATTTTCTTTGGTCACAATACTAAACTTAACTTAATGTAGGTCAATATAATAAAATGTTTTGCTTCAATACAACTTAACTTTTACCATTAACAAAAGCTACATTTGCTTTAATATAAAGAAGAATTATCAGTAAATGCTTCATTTAGTTGACTTGCTATGAATTAAGACAGGAATATTTTCATCAAAAGACCTTGATGTTTATTATGATGGCATTGTCTTTGTTTAAAAAAAAAAAAAATCGCATTCTCTGTTGTCAAAAAAACAAACAAAAAAATACAAAAAAATAAATAAAACCCTAAATTTTGCTGGCTGTTAGGCTAGCCGGTATGTACTTTACACATTACAGCACATTTGAGAAAAAACACAAGAATAAATTAAAGAAAATCATGGTCTTTTCAATACTTTTTTTTAAAACTTCTGTAACCTTTCTGTAACATTAACCACACTAATGTAAAACTTTTTTGTACGCCTCTCCATTAAAACTTGAGATATGTAATATAATAACCATTAAGTCTAATAGTCTTAAAACTTACCATCCTTGGGACAAAATGATCAAGATGAACCATTACAAATGCAATATCAACATTTCCGTATCTATGACCACATTAATGTGGTATGAAAAGCTTAAAGTGGTATAAAATAGCAAAAAAGAAGTGTACAAATAGTGTTTAACTGTCAAAAACCTTGGCTTTCCTTCGACAAAATGACCAGGATGTATGTAAACCTCCCCATCGGAAATTGAGACAACACTTTTTTCAACTAAGGGGTACCCCCAGTTTAATTGCTGTGGATGCAATCCATAACAAAAGGTTGATCTTCAGTTTAAGAAAAAAACATTACCATTACTATTGCTGCAATTATGAACTTTGCATTATTCGAACTTCAGTGTTGATATCAGTGCCACAATATTTATATCACAGAAACTGTTCCGTGAACACAGAAAATCAGAATTGAAGGCCAGTTTTTAATTAAAGTCTGTTTCTCTTATTAACATTTAACAGTGGCCCCTTCCTATATCATAGAATATATTTGAATACAAGCAATAACACAAAATAAAACACATCCGGTATCCAATGTCTCTTTGATGAATCCAATATTTAGAGCTTGACACTCAGACTGCACACTCTGCGTGTCATTTTCTTGGGTTCTATCTCCATGAATAGTTTCTGCAATGCATCAAAGGTGTATTTGGGCTCACTTGTATAGCTTAAGTTAAGAGCATAGATGAGGCCGAACAACATGGCACAGGTGTGTGGGACTGATGGCAACTCACTGAGCAGGACCTGCACTCCTTCAATAACAACCCCAATGTCATGTGGTGGCTGGAGAGGATCCTCCTCTTCCTTGATGACATACACGGCCATTGTACATCTCTCAAGCTCCGTTTCAGCTTCCTCCTTCTGAACAACCTGATAAAAGAAAGAGACAAGACATTTATTACTAAGTTATTTTGATGAAATCCGTGTCTGTTGTTCCTATATGTGCACAAACGATTCAAAACTAAAAACAAGACAAATTGGAGGCCTAGTGATAAGAAAATGTAATGCCTTGCAAAAGTCCAAGAGATACTAAATGTTGACTCTTCAAAATATTTTTCTCATAGCAACTTGACCAGACTTTATCTAGTGAAACACTGGTACAAGTATTATATTACACCTATCTTCAAAAAGTAACATGCTGTGACAAAAATATGAAGGTATATAAAGTAGTATATGTATCACTTCAACCAAGATTAAAAGATACAACTGCCTTGTGTACTCATATTTTCATTAATTTCAGAAAAATACCCACAGACTGACACTTTACACAATGCAAAATTTGGATAAGATTGCCATTTTAATGACCAGTCTTACACACTGCTCCATCTGTACTGCTGCTGCTCTGAATGACACACTCATACACAATGAGGCATTTTAGCAGACACTCCCTTTTTTGATTCACCTCGATGCTGTAGGTGCACAAACACACCCATAATGCATTACTCTCTTCCACTTATGCAAACAATACACCATTCACACACTCATGTGCTCAAACAGTTAAAAGGCCTACTCTAACTCCACAATCAAACTTGTTGACAAAATTAACACCATTTCTTCTATTTACAATGTAACTCTTTATGTGATATGAGTAATGCATTTTGAGCAAGTACATACCTGATTAAGAAGATTCGGTATACTCCGGGTCTTCTCTCTGACAACTCCTCCCATGTTTCTGATGATCTCTATCAGCTTGTTGTAGTGCTTGACAAGGAAGCCAGGAATTGCGGTTCAAGTGGAACAGTTATAATTCTCATAAATTCAGCATTGATCTAAAACAAAAAACAAAAAAAGAATAGCAAAGGTGAACGTAATTACATTTAAACTCTGGAGCTTTAGACTTAAGTGAATTTGCAAGTATTTCAGAACACCCAAGGCCCTTCAGCTGAGTTCGGTAGTTACCCATTTTTGTCTTTAGCCGCTGCTTCCACCCGTAGCATCCATTGTATGAGCCAGGTTCAGAGAGGCAGGGGTGTTTCTGGATTAGTGCTTAAGCAACGTCACTAAAGTCAGCATCTATTGGGTAGGCTTTGAACTTGAATATCTCTTCTGCTAACTTTTCCAAAATATCTGACTTTGTTTTCCAACCCAGTGTCAACCTTGTGTTGTTTGACCTAAACACAGCATTTCCCTTTTCTAGCTGTAGTTCAGTGTGACAGGAGAATGTTGGTACCGGAAATGCACGTGGCCACATCTGAGTTCTTGTAGAGACAGAACTGGAGGGTGATGACAGGAGCTCAGTATCATCTGATTGAGTAGACACTATATCATTACAGAAAGAGAGAGTAATTACTTGGCCATCATCAGGTATTGGGATGACCTTGACAGTTGCCAAATCCTCAAGCTCTGCAGTAGATGTCAAGTTCACAAGAGCATCTCCAAAGTCTTTGTCTTGGTACTGCAGTCTTAAAATTCCATTTAGCCCAGACACTTTCCTGATTTCATCCATAAGCTGCTCCATTGACTCTGGAATTCCATCAGGCAGAATAAGCTTCCAGGTGTCATCAGGGTTCAGAATACCTTGGCTGGCCTTTTGCCTGTCATGTCTTCCCATCCAAAATTATCTAGTCAAAACAAGAAAAGAAACGGCAGTATTAGTTGTAGTACAAAATTGTTAGTTACAAAATAACTTACAATAAATTCATATTCACAAATTAATGGATTTGGAAATTCTTAATATTTGTTTAAATCAAACTGCAAAGGCCCTATGCTATCTTAGCGTTTTCTTTTTACATAGAAAAAAGGACAGCAAATGTATTTTTCATTATTGATATGCATAGCAGGAATTAAAATGGCAACAAATAGCTTTTGTACACTATACAGGAAGGCCTTTGACGATTGATTTCACATGCAGAAGTACTAATTTGTTTAAGTGCAGAAGATATTTTTCATTAACTTTTGTGGTATTTATAAGGTGTTCTATTAAACTTTATTTTTTTGTTTGTTTAAACTACTTGTATTAGCTTTGATTTGGGGGTTATTTGTATTTTAAATTTTGTAAATATGATATTAGATTTGAAAAAAATGAAATACCGACATGAAGTTATATGAAAATTAGATTTTCAAGCTGTCATGTAATTTCTATTAGCAAGGACACATCTGTGGACATTTTGAAGCTATTCTCTATTGTTAGTCATTCCTATTTAAACATGTATGCAAATAATGTTCACCGTTGTTTACTTTGGGACTCACCAGATCAGCAATAAGGCCAAAATCGTGAAATTTCCAGGAAGCGTCAAACCTGTAAACACAAAGGAAAAGCTGAGAATTCACATTTTGTTTTTTTGTTGGGGCAGTTACCACTATCCACACTACAAGCTGTAAATCATTAATTAGACCTAAATCATACTGGTAATATTGTACTATACTGCATTTTAAACTGACAGATGAAACAATGGAATATGACATCTTCCTCTTCAATCAGAATTCTTTGTCTAAAATGTAATGTATTTAATGAATCACATACTGTACTATTAATCACACCCTCTATTGCTTATCTGAATGGATTCACTGTTTGGAGTGTGTCGGATTATAATAAAGGAGTGCATTTCTGAAATGGCTTTAAACTGAATGTTTACATGCAGTAAACAAACGGTGACTACACATATCGGCAATGGCGGAGAGACACGGCAGGCGAACCAGTGCCACCCATGTCAAATTAAGTTTTAATAAATGTTGTTGTTTTTTCCGGTTGTTTATGCCACTTACAGTCGGGAGCATTTCAGTTGTCACTTCTTTAAACTGTGTCCGCGCTGTGCTCTGCTCTGCAGCCAGCCCTGTGTGTGTGTGTGGGCAGCGCAGCCCCGCCCTCAGGAAAACACAGAACGCCCCTCTTCAGCCGCCTGAATTACTTTTCTGAGTTGTGCTGACCCAGTGGACGGCTCTAATCACACACGGGCTCAATCGGACATTACATGCACCCTGTTCCAACTGATTCGGACATTTATTTGCCTTCTCATATACAGAAACCTCGAATGTCTAGACTAGTTAACGCTTACAAGAAAAGAAAAATAAAAGTTGATTGGTTGCTAAAGCATATTCACTAAAGACAAACGTACATTATCACACGACACTCCCATAATATTTCCGTTACATCAAAGTAAAACAATATTAACAACGAACTTGACTTTGCATTTGACCAACAGGTGCATTGCGATAGCCTGGTTTAGCTAACGTTAGCTTTAGGCAACACGTGCCTAAACACAGTTCTCTAATGTAGCTTAGTTTACCACTAATCATAAATGTGAATGAAAAACACTTGTTCTCGTTAAAATAACACAGTTTTCGAAAGCTTACCCTATCAAAAAGAGATTTCCTCCTCCTGGGCCACGACGTGACGGAGTCTTCACATTCGAAGCGAAGTAATGGCGGACAGTAAAAACGCTGGCTGGATGTAGCAGATGTGACGTCGAGTGGTCACATGACATGAAAACTTTTTTTTTTTCCTTTTTCTTCTGGTCTGAAGTAAAAATATGACTGAAGTAAAATTGTTCTTTTAATTTGTTCTAGGGGGTTCATTATCTACTTTAAGGCAAACTAGACAAAACAGGTTTGAAACAGAAAGCACGATTTTCACTTAGTCCAATGTAAAAATGCACTTCAAATAAACGACACGGCAGTTTCACTTTTTTCAGTGTAGTCACGTTTGTTAACAGCAGCTCTCCTCTTACTGACCTGTGCACTTGTTAGTTGCTAGGATTGTTTTAGGGGCTTGGACAGTAAGCCCTAAGGGTCTGTTTAATTTCTTGGGCTAGAGTAACCTGTTAGAACCGTTAAGTTGATGATCACTCTACCTAACAATTACTGCCTGATGAGATATCATAAATCCAATGTCCACAGTTTATTCTTTAACTTCAATGGTTATTTTTATTGCAAGATTTAGCAAGGGCCAGCATACAGCATAAACTGGTTCAAAAACTGATTGTTCACATTCACTAATAATGATTAACTAGGTTTCCAAAATTAAGTAAGTAATTGTTTAAAATTCAAACCCCTGATGAAAAGGCTTGTAGCTGAATGGTCGAATGTCCAGCTTGTAGAGAGAGAGGGAAGAGGTGTACTGGCCGATACAGTTCTTCCTCGCCTGCCATACTGTTGGTTGCTGTTGAAACTCCCGACTTTGTCCAAAGTCCGCAAAGTCTCTGACCAGTGCAGTTCTCTGATGGAAGGGTGAACGAAAGAGTGATCCTTGGTGATCAATTGGAACCTGCAGCCGGGTGGAGATGGTAAATCCTCTTCTGCCCGCCGCTCCCGTCTCGGCTGTAGGTTGTTGGAATTCTCTTTCTGTGATGATGGCTTGTTTGTTGCTCTGTCTCTTGAGTTGAAATTCTAAGTTCAAAGATGAGTTGCCCAAATGTGGTCGATCGATCAGCAAGTCTTGAACCCGAGAGCCGGCTGAGGACTAACCACAATCCCCCTTGTGTAGCCCCTTTTAACCCCCTAGGGTGTTCGGTTCAGGGCCGTGCCACTTCCTCTTTTGCTCCTCACAAGACAGTCCTGTGTGTGCGCTTAACTTTACAAGATGTATCCGCTGTGTGCGCTCATCTTCACAAGATGTATCCGCTGTGCCTTCTTACTCGTTACTCAACATTATCCTGATTTGACCCTTTGTTCCCCTTTCTCTCCGCACCAGATGTTGCATGTCCGGTTGCAATACGTACCTTTTTACCTAGTTACTCAACACTTCAACATGATTTGCTCTCTTGACCTTACTTTCCATAGTTCTATCTTACTACTATGCATTTATACTCATTAATTATCAAATAATCAGTTACAATCATATAATCATGTTTCCTTTCATTGTTACATATTTCATTTTGTAATATAGAATCAACTTCAATCATTATACAGCTTTTGGTTATTATAATCTCTGTGCATTGCGTTATTCAGATGGAGTCCCTAATGCTCCATTGTGGTTTTAGCGGATCAGGGATCTCAACTTACTTGACACACCCCAGCCTGCTAGTGTTGCAACTCTGCTCTCCTTTACAACAGCCAGGCTCAACAGTGTGAACATTTCTCCCATACATGGGATTTAACGAAGAAACTTCACTCGGTACTGCCACTGTACAACAAGTTTTTCTGTGGTTTCAGTCCAACAGAATGGTATCTATCCACTAAATGGTAACTGGACCTGTACTTGTATAGTGCCTTTCTAGTCTTCTGACCACTCAAAGCGCTTTTACAATATATGCCACATTCGCCCTTTCACACACATTCACACAGTGATGGCAAAGCCCATCAAACAGAAACTAACTCATTCATACACATTCACACACTGATACACAGCTTCGGGAGCAATTTGGGGTTCAGTATCTTGCTCAAGGATACTTCGACATGTGGCGGGAGGAGCCGGGGATCGAACCACAACCTTCCAATTAGTGGACGATCCGCTCTGCCTCTGAGCCACAGCCGCCTTACTAAAACAATCTAGCTGATCACATAATTTGAAATGAGAATCTCCCAATTAAACTCGTATTCATATTATATCAATAATATAAGCTTATCAACTTCAGAAGCTTCAGAATTTGGATCAATATTTGCACATCTTCAGCTATGTATATACATTTTCGCTATTAAACCTCTTGCAACCCTGCGTCCTCATATGGGGACAAAGTTTTATAGTAAATCAAATCCTGATGTTCTCATATGAGGACATAATTTTTTGTGAACTAGTAATTGTTCAAAGACAATGCTTTGTTTAGAATAGAATAGAATAAACTTGTCTTGGGCACAGTGCTACAATTTGTTGCTTCACAGAAACAAACATATCTCAACAACAGACGCACATAAAAAAACTATTACAAAATCAACACCAAAAATCTTAAAACATGAAAGACACTAATAATACATTTTAACACTGGCAATATGGCACCTTAAAAAAAGACTGAAAAAAAATTAAGAAACTATAAGAATTAAAGTGCTACGGTGCTGGTTTGTTTATTACACATTGCTCTATGATTTAGAATTAGAGTTCAGCAGTTTGATAAAAGTCAGGACGAACGATAATGGTTTTTATGTTTATCAGGTCCTACTAATCCCTAATAGCTAGGAGAAATTAAAATGCACATCAAACAAAAGCTCGGATCTCAGGAGGGTATAGTAAACATCTTTAGCACAGAAATATGTTTTGCTATGGATTCATTTTCAGATAGTAGCTTGAGTGTGCACTGGAACGTTGTACCATTTATATAAATTTAAGCATTTGATTGGACTTGGTATTGGCAGATACCCATAAAAGAGTCAGATCATGATTTGAACAATTTTATTTGGACATCCCTAGAATTTACTGAATGATTCATATTCCCCATGGGATGACCCATTTACATTTTGAAGGATAAACAAGTTTTTTTTGCCCAACTACTGGTAAAGTTCTAATTTCACCTGTGATTAATTTTGTTTTTTTTTTTTGGCGCTTTTATTGCCTTTATATGATAGTGACAGCTGAAGATAGACCAGAAAGGGGGGCAGAGAGAGAGGATGACACGCAGCAAAGGGCCGGAGGTCGGATTCGGGCCGCTGCAGCGAGGACTCAGCCATGGTACATGGGACGCCAGCTCCACCAACTGAGCTAACTGGGCAGTGCACCCACCTGTGATTCAATTTAACTAGAATTGCAACCTGTAGGGACGGCTAACAGGGCTTTGAACTTCATCTTGTATATTTTATTACATAGGAGCACAGTCCACAATCTTAATTAATCAGATCCTAGAGAGGTAATGTATTTGCGATCAATCTTTCCTTTCTTAGCAGATTTCAGTAAGACGGCCCCACACATTTCTAATTTAGCTCATGTCTGTATGCTTGACACTGTCCGACAAGCTGATATTCCACAATGTCTTGCGTCTGTCCATATACATCAAACTCATGATTACATGTACTACACAGAGTGAGTGGTGACTGCTGAGTAACAATTTATTCAGATGGGAACTCAGAAAAGAAAAATTTAAAAAGTATCATAAAAGTTCAGCAGTTGCAGAGATATCCTGACTTTTAGTCCCCATAGGTCAAGTTTCTAGTAAACTGAATGTTTTGGGGGTTTGGACAGATGGGCAAAACAAGACATCTGAAGACCGTTGGTATTCTAGGATATTGTGATATTTTATAGATAAAAAGTGCCCTCTTGAATGCCCCTATGGTAGATAAAACATTATCAAGGTTCCTGATCATGTTTCCCCTAGGTTGCCCTTCCAGTGGACAAAACACAATAAAGTGCTCTCTAAGGTGTCCTTCCGGTGGATAAAATGTAAGAAAGTGCCTTCTAGAGTGCCACTACAGTGCACAACAAACAATAAAGTGCCCTCTACGGCGCCCCTCCAGTGGACTAAACAGACTAAACACAATAAAGTGCCATTCCAGTTGACAAAACAGGGTGCTCATTCTAACCCTGACTAAGCTGTTTCACCATAAATGGTAATGATAAATTGTCCTGTATTTGTATAGTGCCTTTCTAGTCTTCCGACCACTCAAAGCGTTTTTACACTACGTGCCACATTCACCCTTTCACACATACACACACAGGCCATCGAACAGAAACACTTTCATTCACGTTCACACACCGATGACACAGCATCGGGAGCAATTTGGGGTTCAGTATCTAGCTCAAAGATACTTCTAGGGACCGAACCAACAACCTTCCAATTAGTGGCTGCTCTACCTAGGGTGGCCATTCGTCCGGCTTTAGGCCGGACAGTCCAGCTTTTAAATGCCCTGTCCGGCTGCAGGCGCAGCCTTAAGCCGGACACTCATTTGTCCTCCTTTTGAGAAAATAACTGCTACCACCAGGCTGTCAATCAAGCTCTCAGACAGAGAACGTGTGAGCTAACGTTGGTTGTTGGACTGAAATTCTGAAAATGCTCATACTCATATCTAAAACAGAAGGTGCTGCATTTTGTTTACCCTTTATCTATCCAGATAAAAACATTAAGAACAGTTTCTGTATGATGTTTATTAGACCTATGTAATCTGAATTGGAAGGGCACGTTGTCATGAGCTGTATCTTGTATATTTATTATTAGCTATGTGGTATGTCTATGCACCTTTATGTAATCTGGTGGAAAAACATTCAAATTTAAAACCGGATCATACCAAAAAAAATATCTGCTTGCGTGTCCCCGTGTATGCAAAGTGTCCTCCTTTTTGATGTGAAGGAAATGGCCACTTTAGCTCTACCTCTGAGCCACAGCCGCCCCCATAAATGCATCACAACTATCTGAGCACTGGTGCCCTTTTTATTTGTTTTTCTGCCCCTTCACTTTAAACAGGCTGACACCTAATAGGTGGACCAGATCTCTATTAAAACAATCTAGTTGACATCATATCAGTTTCAGTTGCCAGTAGGTGCCCTGTGGAGGTTTCTTGTAAACACAGTTCAGTTTACAAGCACACTGTGTGCTAGAAACCTCACCAATGTGTTGAATGCATTTCATTCTTTATAAAAACATTGCAATGCCATTTTTCTTGTTTGTGTACAAGCAGTCTTTTCCCTACTATTGCTATGTTTCTAGGTGTATTGCCACCACCAGCTGTACATCAGCAAGAAAAAGTGAAACCTCACCTGAGACACAAACAGAATCAATTATTTAATTATTACAAATAAGTCAGCAGGTTACAGCTGTTATTTAAATACATCAGATACATATTTACTACATATTTACATTCCATATCTTCTACAGCTCTGCTCATTTTTAAGCTGTATAGTTACAGGTTGTGAATATATCTGGGCTACCACTGAAACTGTTCTTGCTTTTTCATCTAAGGAACAAGTACATTTCTCTCAAATTCTAATATTTAACTTTTGTTAAAAGTATTGAGTGCTAAACTGGATTCATCCGGAGTTTAAATGGATTTGTGTTTGATAAGCACATTTGAAACTGCATTCAGATTTGATAAAATGCTATTGAACTCCAGCCATAAATTATTAGTGCAAACCAAACTGACCTTTATGTGTAAAATCTGTGTCTCAAATACAAAAAATTAACATTGTTGTAAAATAAATCTTCCTAAATCTATGTTTTGGATACATTTGTGCAACAAAAAAAGCCAACAAAAAAACAAAGCAAATGTTATTAGAAAACATTACAAAAAATAGAACATCCTTCATTCTGTCAGAACTAATCAGGCCAGACATTAATTTCAATCCATGCACTGAAAAAAAGAGTCACTTGCTTAGGGATTACAGCTCATTTTATCTTGGTTGGAAAAGAACTCAGGACAAACAGTGGAAAATCCTTCCACAAAAGAAAATTAAACACCCGGTGAAGGACAGTCAAGTCTAGCACTGCTGACAGCTTATTATTATTCCTGCCTCATATATCGCCTCTGTTCTCTACTAATACTGGGCCCGAGAGAGGAGGGATTCTATTCTTAACATCTGTCAGACACAGTTTTGCCATGTTGTTTCTGGTCAGGTATGATGGGGGCTGTTGGAGAGAGACGGCTTCCAAAGACCATTAATATTAATGAGGCCACCTCCAGCCTGTCAAAGTGTGGTGAGAGCAGGGATGGTAACGATGTAACACAAAGCTACTGTCTGTATCTGTTCATGTCACAAAAACATTTGTATTCGTATTTGTACTCAGATTGTATTGGAAGTAGGTGTGGTTAATACCAGATTCTTGCTTGAATTGTATTCTATTGCCATTATACTCCTCAAATATATTTATTTATTTAGCTAACAACCAAATAATATAATAACTTTGTGCAAGGTGTTCAAAAACTGCAGGTTGCATGTGAAGGTGGTTTGTTGTGCAACAAACTTGAATTTTTGTTTTAATCTGTATTTATTTCAGCTTTAATACTGAAATATTTATTGGATGATGTCTGTATGGGTTTGATTTTAAAAGCGATAAGCTAAACTGAATCGGCTGGATCTCGGATTTTGCAACAGCTGGGGGCGGCTGTGGCTCAGAAGCAGAGTGGGTCGTCCACTAATCAGAAGGTTGTTGGTTTGATCCCCGGCTCCTCTTGCTGCATGTCGAAACATCTTTGAGCAAGATACTGAAACCCAAATTGCTCCCAATGCTGTGCATCGGTGTATGCCTGTGTGTGGGAATGCTTAGTTTCAGTGATTAAGTGGTCAGAAGACTAGAAAGGTGCTATATAAGTACAGTCCATTTAACATTTTGTCTAGCCATCACAATTTGGCCCTTGTCAAAGTCACTCAATCTTCACGCTGCCTATTTTTTTTACTTCTGACTTACTTACATTAACTCTGAGGACATATGTTCACTTGCTGCCTAATATATCCCACCCACTGACAGGTGCCATGATAACCAGATAATCAGTGTTATTCACTTCACCTGTCAGTGCTCATAATGTTATGGCTGATCGGTGTATAAATAACTGTATATATTGGTTTATTTTATGTTATTCTATA